CTACAGCTCTCTGCGCCTGTCTCCTCATCTGTAAAATGGGGATAATAATAGGGGTCATGGGACTAAAGGAGAGGCTGAATTTAAGGGGCTTTCAGCTGGTGCTCATTAAACAGAGGGCCCAGCACTGCACTTGGCTCCCGGGAGTTGGTCACTGGTACTTGGCTCGGTGAGTGGGTGTTAGCCACTGACACCACTGCCATTATCATTATCATCACCAACAGCAGCAGGGATCCCCAAGCCTGGTTTTGCAACCAGCCCTGGTGAAGGGTGTAGCAAAATTCTCCAAACAAAATTTGCTTCCATTCATTTTGGGTTTCTGAAAAGGCCACGTCAGACAGCTTGGCGGGGAGGAGGCGGCGTTGCGAAACCCAGCACAGAGGGATCCAGAGCCCCACTCCTCGGCTCAGGAAATGATGTGCCATCAGCTAGCAATAGGCTCCTGTGCGCGGGCACCCCAAGGGCTCCTGGGCTGTGGGTTCACCTCCTGCCACCCTCTGGGTGACCTTGGGAAGCTACCCAAACTCTCTGAGCCTCAGTTTCCTCATCTGTTAAATGGAGACATGCCCACCTCTGGGGGTAGGGGGCGGGGTGGAAAGATGTGGAGATTAAATATCTTCTGCAAACTGTTGTACATGGCCTGAAGGCCTCTGTCCTGGCCAGGGGCATCCACCAGCAGACTGTGGACAGGGTGTAAGAACAGAACACACACTCCCCACCCCCCCACCATGGGCCATGACAAAAGTCTAGTCACATAAGTCTTAGTGGCCCCCCCACAGGAGTCTGATGAAGTCAAGGGTGGGCTTGTCTTTGGTCCAACACACAGGAGGCCTCTCATCAGTGACAGCCTTTTCCAAAAAGGGTGCAGTGAGAGTGTGCATAATGGGGTGCCTTTCCCACCAGAGCCAGCCCCCACACTCCCTTAACTGACAGGTCATCTGTCAGAAGAAGCTGCTGAGCCTCATCAGCTCCCCGTTGACCCCCACCCCAAGCGCTAATACACACTGGCCTCCAAAGCCACTAGAGCAAACACAGCCCCATCCCAGCTCTCCACACGCTCAAAGAAGAGGCAGGGGCCTTGAGAATTCCCCTCCTGGGCTGTCAGGATCACAGACTCCACACTGAGACGGTGGAAATTCTCTGAGATCACAAGGTCCAAGCTTGCACTTTATCAAGGGAACCCAGAGAGGGGACACACTGCATTCAAGGCACACAGCAAGGCAGCAACAGGGCTCCGGGCACAGACGGGACACTCCCCATGCCGGCACGCTGCCCCCCTCCATGACAAGCCTCCTGTGGGCTGCCCCCTTCCCCAAGCCTGCCCAGCACGTGGCTGCCTCCCAGCTCTCATCAATGTAGTTCTCTCAGCCAGCAGTGCCCTTCCGGCCATTCTCCATCTACCCAAATCCTCTAATCCTCCCAAATCCACCCCAGATCTAGTACATGTCCTCCAGGAAGCACTTCCCACAGGCCCAAACTCTTCCCAGCACCGGACAGCACCAGCCCCCACCTCCAGGAAGGGCCTGGCAGGGTGACTACAGTTCACAGAGCAGGGCCCTGTGGGTTTGACTCTGTCCCCAACCCTAGGGGACACCGAGCAGGCCTCAGGAAGCCCTGGTGGCCCGAAGACAGAATGGAGCATTAGGAAATGGCAGACAAGCTAGTGGACAAGTTGGTGACCTACTGAATGAAAGTAAGGAAGTGATGATGTGTATAATGAATTGGCAGAAATAAATGTCAGACCGTATACCCCTGAAGACACAGGCTCCTGCCCAAGCATGGCTCCTCACTCTCTTATAGAGTCTTTGAGGTCCTACAGACACACTGGGATTGTAGAGGCTATGGGCCTCTAACCCCACAGAGCCTGACCAAATGCTTTTGAGTTTGCAGGCCCAGCTGGAGACCAGGAGCCCATATGGACAGTTGTATTGACAACTAGACCTCGTCAAGGCTCCCACCATGTTCTGCCACCCAGCCCTTGACTTAGGATGGCCCAAATGACACTTGTCCATTCATTCAGCCAAATAAATGGACCGAGGGTCCAGAATGAACCAAGACCTGTTCTCAGCACCAGTGGGATGGCATAAAGAGGCAGGCATGACCCTGCTCTGCTCCACACAACTACATCAAGAGGCATCCAGTAATAAGGAACAGTGGCTGGTAGTGAAGGCAGAGGCCTGTGGGGGCTGGGAAGTGGTGACAGGGATACAATCTGGCCTGGGTGTCAGGGAAGGCTTTCTTCTGGAAGTGATACACCTAAGTTGAGTCTGGATGAGAGGTAGTAATTAAGTAGGCAAATGGGAAGGGGGCGGCGTTCAGGTAGAGGAACCAGCGTGTGCAAAGACCCTGAGGCTGGAGGCAATGAGGCCTGTTCCAGGAACTGAAAGCAGGCCAGGGGGACCCAAGCCAAAGAGGGAAGGGAGGAGCTGTAAGATGTGGCTAGAAAGGTAGCTAGCCTGGGGAGGAGGCTAGGCTTCATTCTAGGAGTAGTGGGCATATATTGAGTACCCATGGTGTGCTTTAAAAAAAAAAAAAAAACCTGCATTCAAGATTTTATTCACATTATAGAATGTTTAAGTGGAAGTGTTTAAATGCACCATAGTCAGATAATGCTGTTTTTAATGCTTTTCTGAATGACTGAATCTATCAATTAATCACAGATATATGGGAGCATAGAGACCACCTGCTCCTGTCCCACAGAGTGCCCAGTACAATTCCTCAGAGCCTCCCCATCATGTAGAAACACTGGCATTTATGAAGCTAGTGGCCCCATAAACTGCACAAGAAATTAACGAGATGCCAGTGGGTGCCCCTGGTACGTCCAATTCGTCACCAAGTCTTACAAAAGCTCTAAAGTACACAATCTATCCTTAGCTCCGAGTACTGTTCAGCCTCCTTTCAAAAAACACCAATTCAGCTGCCAGGCAGCCTTGCACCCAGGGCACAGCCCTCGAACCTGCAGCTCTGTTTCAAGGCGGAAACCAGCCGGATGCTGCCCTGGGTCCCACATAACCCAGCCATCAGGCCTGCTCTGCCCCACACTTTCTCTCTAGTTGGGACCTTGCACTCCGCCCCCAGAGCCTGGCACAGACTGTCTCTCCTCTGCCCCCAGACAAAACAGGGGCTCCTTGAGGGTGGGGACCACATCAGATCATTACACGTCTCTAGCATCCAGCACAGGCCCAGTCCAGTCTCTGATGGATGAATGACGGAAGGGTGCCATGGACATCACACAGAGGCACACTCACAGAAGTTGAGCTGCTGTTATCTGGGCTCCAGGAGGACTCAGGAGTCCTGGCGCACCCCTGCCACAGCACAGGCACACGCACACACGCCTGCCCCACGTGCACAGCCAGTGTCTCCAAGAGCTGCTGGGAACACACTCTGCATCTGCTGCTGACTGGCCTCCAACAGCCAGCTCCAGGGCCTGGCGGTGGCTCCCAGCACTCCAGCCACCAATCGGTCACCCAGCTCTGCAGCCCCACCCAGCCCTGCTGCCCATGGGAGTCTGGCTTAGGCCCCTCAGGCCACCCTGGGACCAGACAGCCCACAGTTCCCTCTGTGGGACAGAAACTGGGCTCCTCCAACAGCCACTCTCGGAGATGATCCTGTACAACCTCCAGACTCCACCACCTTGAGCCTTCAGGAAAACACAGCCCCCTCCCACAAGTGAAGGCACAAGAGCAAAGACAGCCAGAACCAGGACCCTGGGGAGCTAGGCTGAGACTGAAGGTGCACCAGGGGTAGAGGCAGGCCGGTGCAGCCTCCTGGGGCTGGGGACTGCAGCCCGCCGCGCGCCTCCCCCCCCCCCCCCCCCCGGTCATTTCCACTTCCAGGCAGGTGGGGGTGCAGGAACCCTCCCACCCACAATTAGCACTGCCCCCCAAGCTTGAGGCTTACATCCTCAGGGCACCTCATCCACCCCCTTACCCACCTCCCCACAACTGGCCTTCGCCAATCCATAGCCCCTTTCCTCATCTCATTCCCACAACATCAACAGTCCCTGGCTGCCCGCCCCTCTGCAACACCGGCAGCTCTGAGGAAGAAGGGGAGAAGGGAGAGGGATGAGAACACCAAGGAATGGAACGATGGAGGGGGGTTGGAGCCGGTAGGTTCGGCCGAAAGAGGCCAGGGGCAGTCATCACATGTCCAGGTAGCACATGTCCCCTCCCAGCAGGCCCCGCACATCTGGACCCAGCTGGCCTCTCCGGCCAGCGGGTCCACCTGCCACGGGCTCTGAACGCGAACCCCTTTCACCGCGGGGCGCCGCACGTGGGGGCCTCCCGTGGCCATGTGAGCGCCCCCCCAACCCAGGTGCCCAGGTCAGCCCAGCCCCTCCCGGGTACGCAAACAGGGAGGGGGCGCCATGCAGCGCTGGGAAGTGGGGTTGCCCCCGCCCCCTCCCCAGATGCCGGGTCCGGGAAAAGAGCTCCGGAATGGGGGTGCTGGCTGGGCAGGTTCCCGGGGCTACTGAGTCGGGATGGAGGCAGCTGGGCTGAACGGAGAAATGCCCCGGCCGGCCGGCAGAGCCCTCCCTCTCCTTAGCTCCCAAGGTTGGTGGGGAGGGGAGGGGTCTCCCTGACCCCCTGGCCGCCCTGCGGATTGAGGGTCGGGCCCGAGGAGGGGCTTCCCAGCTTTGGCAGCCTCTTGACATCGGAGAGTCCGCGGGAAAAAGAGGTGGAATGGGGGTCCAGCCCTGGCTAGGGGGTTCCGGGCCCCAGGCACGCCACCCCCACCCCCACCCGCTTTGGGGGTCCAAGAAAACCCAGACTGGAGGATCCCACCCAGAGAAGGGGGCTTGCCAGCCGCAGAACCGCCCCCTCGGATTGGGGGCTCAGAAGACGGAACTGGCAGGGGGAGGGGGCTTTCCTGCGCCAGCGCCGCCCGTCGGTTTAGGGAGGTCTGTCCGGGAGGAGACTCGGATCGGGGGTCTCGCCGAGGGACGGGGCGCACCGGCCCCGGAAAGGGGGTCTGGCCACTGCGCGCCACCCCCGCGCCCTCACCTGCGCCGGGCGCCTCGGCCGCCTCCGGCCCTCTCGGCCGCTGCGCTGCGCCGCCGCCGTTCGGGTCCGCTGGCAGGTCCGCCGCCT